ATTATTTAACTTGTTAGTATAGCCAAGAAGGCAATTTTTATAATAAACGTATTAAAAAAATATGTTATGTGTTTCTAATTGTACCTAAATGGAGGACCCCTTTTTTATTTAGCCGACCAAGTAATGTGTGCCCAGGCCGCCACTGTGTTAAATTTTAACAAAACGAAAAAAATAACGAAATTCCACTACATATTTTAAGTCAAAAATTCATTAAATTTAAAATTTTTATAACTTAAGCCGCATCCTCCCTAGTAAAAATGTATGTTGTGCGTTAAATGTAGTATTTGACACACATATTTACAGATATAAGGATAGTCATTTAATTTATAAATAAATATATTTTTCATGCGCTATGCATCCGTGATCAATATGTGTTGATTAATCATATTATAGTATAACGCTTCCACATAGAGGCATATATTCGAGGGGGGGGGGGATTTCGACGCCCCAGAAGAAATAAAGGTTCAATAGTCAAAAACTACTTGCTACGAAGGTACAGAAAAAGAGACCATTAATTTATATATTAACTTACAAGTATTAACCATTTAATAGTTTTTGATTTTTATTTAATTTTTTATTATTTAATTATTTATAACATGTGGTTTTAATGTTTGTATAAAAATTAATTACTAGTATATGTGTATATTATTGTATTATTATTATGGTATATGTATTTTTTAAAATATTATAAAATCACTTATTTTTAGAAAAATTTTAAATCTCCCCCTTACCCTAAAAACAATTTGAAAATAGGTACGCCATTGCTTTCAGACTAGAATGATGTTGCTACATAAATGTATTTTATTGCGCAAAAAACTCATAGCCAACACAAATCGTGTGTGTGGAATGCGCCGAAAATATTTGCGCGTGCTGTTATGTGGCAAACACGTTCATTGTATGCATACACGTACACATTTTATGACGTACGAACAAATTTGCGTTGAATACGACGCATAACGTAAATATGTACAACCATGGACGCGGTTTTAGGCTTAACAATTTGATACAAGATGTGATTTTACTTGAAGCAAAATAAAAATTATAATATAGGGATAACAATTTATAAGCGTTACATTTTGACAAAATAGTTTTAAAGAATTTTTAATGATATAAATTATATAGTAAGAGACATTTCATTGTTTCGAATTATTCTAATGAAGTTTTTATTGATAATAGTGATTTAAAATTTGAAATTTTCCCAAATTTTAAATGCCTTTTTATTATTTTTGCGAAAATAAGAACATAAAATGTTTAACTTTTATTACTTGGTTCTTCTACTTCTACCTCAATTATAATAACAAGAACTATAATAGAAAATTTATGTTTTTTCTTCGTATCACATTAAATATTAATAATTTATATATACAACAATTTGTTAAATTTCTTATGGTTACTATATTTTTTATGTTTTTTTTTATTAATAGTCATTCTATTAAAGTATTTTGTTTTACTTTTTAACAGAATCTAAGCAATCCCTATAAACCTATAGTACCTATACGACCCTACAGTTTTTCATTACAATATGTTTTGACCTTTGTATCCTAAATATCTTATAACCATTTTTAAATCTTATTTGTATCACCTGAAATTTTGTAGTACATTTTAACGAAAAAACTTTTATAATTAATTATTATCAAATTTTACAGTAAATATAATTCACTGTAGCATAACATACAAAATAAAATTTGAGTATCAAGAAATTATTATAAATCATATTATTTATAATGTTTATAAAACGCAATGGTTCTTAATCGGGTAGGTAAATATGAGTATATGTGATTTCTACGTGCCAAAGGTTAAAATCACTGCAGTGAACTAGATAACTGAAAGATTTAATTAATTGCTTTTTCATAAAAAAAAAATCTAAATTAAAATTATACCATTATCTACACTAGTGTTTATCAACCGGGGATACTGGATTAAACTGGGTTAACACTACACCGTGCCGCGTCGTGTCTTGTAAAATAATTATCTCTGTTTGACTGAACCATGTAGTAATACTTAGGTATGCCGTATATCACACGTTACCCCACTAACCATATGTTACCGTAAAGCTAATTTCAGCTAACTTTTGAACGTGTGGTTATTTAATATATATAAAAATGGAGCCAAAAATGTATAACATTTTATCAATTGAGAACGGTTGGGCTCATTTGGCTTAAATTTTTTTTAATTGTTCGTAATTGCCAGAAGGTTTTTACGAAAAAAAAATTTGGAAAAGTGCTATTGTTTAATAAATCGTAGTTTAATTTAATAATTTTTAATCTGGTCGATAACTGCGCAATTGAAAATTAATTATTAAATAAAACTACTAAAAAAACTATTAATTTTATTTTTGGTATTAAATGACGTGTATTGTATAAATATTGAAAAACAAGATCCCACAACAAACAAGAATGATTAAAGGATTATTATGCATATCGGTTGATGATTAGACGTGATCAGGACAACGTTATTCTATGATGCCGTGAGCTTTGTCAACAATTCATGGTCGACATATATGTAAAGATAGAGAGGAAACGATTTCGATACTTGCGATTCAATCAAAATCATGTTTTTCACACGAACAATTACGTGGCGTGCTCTCAAACTATCCAGTTTGTTTATGTTGGCGAAAGATGGGATAACAAAAAACATTGTACACTCTGTTGCATTAAGAATTTGATATTGTTTTTTACTAATATTGTCATAATTAGTGATATATATATAGCCATAGCCCTAAGAATAGGTGAATTTTTTAAATAGTTTGTGTTATATACAGGAATGTAAAACAATGACGTGGAACGGTTATTGTAGGGTGGAGTTAAAAAGGGAATGCAATTTAAAAGATCAGGATTATCGGTGATACCATTAATTAACTTATAAATAAAAGATATATCTGCTATTTCACGTCTGGAGGATAAGGCTGTAATGTTAAGAAAATACCTGATTTGTGTATAATCATGATTATCAATGGTCAAATTAAATTTAAGGGGTACGAATTTTAAAAACCTATTTTGAACGCGTTCAATTAAATCAATATCGGTGTTTTGGTGTATGGATTCCAGATAGGAGCTCCGTATTCGAGAATAAATCTGACTAACGCACAATACAGGAGTTTGAATGTTCAAAATACGCTAAAATATTTTCGGTTGAAATAATGTCGGCTACAATATTTTTGGCTATTTTAAAGCTCTTCATGTTATCCATCTGAATATAGTATTTTGGTATGAATGTATAGAACCACGGCGAAAATACCACTATTTTTTCAGTTGAATTTATCACTCGTAATTGTTAGTCATTAGTAGGTTGGTTATTACCTCTATACCTTACCTATATAGAAAATCATATTATCTTACTTTATATTTTTATATTATCTATGGTTTACGGTTGGCTACGAAGTTATGTTCCATTTATAACTTTGATTATTTTTGGTTCTTAGTAATATTTAACCAGTGGGCTACGCAGAATTGTATGCGGAATGACAAATATTATTACCAATCATATAAACGATATGATTCATTACTATTTACATTTCATATATTAGTTCATATTTTTAATATATCAGGTTATTTTTAATATATCGACAGTTAGTTTATCTGCAGAAATGCTGGTCTTAAAGAATAGTCTACCAGCCAACTTTTAATTTGAAGACTTGAAAAATCAATGTAATAAAAGTTCGTTTCCAAATGTTTATAAACTAGTTCAAGTGGTAATGACAATTTCAATTTCTTCTTCAACGTGTGAACGCTCCTTTTCAGCTATGCGTAGATTTAAAAATTGGTTACGCACTAGTATAGGTCAAGAAAGATTTATTAAGCTATCTACGCTTAGCATTGAGAGAGATTTTTACCAATAAAATAGATGGAAAAATTATATTGGAAAAATTTGCATCATCAGACAGGAAATTAATTCTTGTTTAATATTATTAATAATAACATATTATTATAACTTATAATATAATTAGGTACTTTTAAATTTTCATTAATAAAAATTAAAAATTATGGCAACGCAGTTGATTATAGTATTAGGGGGGTATGGGGGGGGGAAAGCCCTCCACGGACCTGTGTATTTTTAATTATTCCAGCACCTCCTGAATTCACACACAATGAGCGCCTATAACACTAACTGATGTGAAACGTGTTTTAAAATAAAAAAATTGAAACTTATAAATAAGACGTACAACAAAAATAAATCCTAGGAAGGGGCTTAATACAATTGCCGCACATGGGCTTCCTATTTTGTAGTTACGGCACAGTATAGAGGAAAATTTATCAATGGCATTATTACGGACCCGGACATTTGGCCGCGACCGTTTCGCCGCCGGACTACTCGTTGTCGGGCTATTCGCTGCGAAGAGAACCTCCTCACGAAATATTATTATTACCAATTATGTACTTATCATTAAAGATTAATAAACAACATTACTAAGTTTATGATATTTTTTCAAACCTCACCACTTGACTTTTTACATACCTACGTTCATTCCTGATTGACACTCTTTAAGTTGTGATATGTTCCTCAATTTAAATCAAGTACATTTTAACACCCAAATTTTCCATTGCTGGGAAGGGGAGTTCAAATATAGTGATTCACTAGGAACGCCACCAGACCTCAATACGACCCTGCAATAGTTGCCGTGTATGTAGACACATTATTTATAGTATTCATGGAGTCCATTGGAGAATTCTAAATACCTAATCATATTTTTTATTCATAGATTTCCAATGTATTGTAATGTAAATAAACAATTAGTGGTACACGGGGATCTACGAAGTGCAAGACCAAGAGCATAGGCCCCGTTCGCCACCCTTAAGGGTGGACGGAGTCCGCAGCAGTCTATAAGTAACATACACAATACAAGAGTGCATTATTACCATATCGTTGGATTATTATTATTATTTTTTTTTTTTTATATATTTTTATTATATAATAGATAGATTTTTATACAATGTTCAAAAACTTGTGTCTCAAGTATAACACTAACCAATACATTAAGTTAATTAAAATTAAATTTTAAGAATATTAAAAAAAAAATGAAAACAAAAATAATTAAATTTTAATTAACTAAAAAATCAACTGTAATAAAAATAATTATTGTAATTTTGGTTTTAATAATATAAAATGTTTTATAAAAAAAAAAAATGATTTGAAAAAAAAAATTGGTAAGGGTCGCAATTTCTAAAAATCTTACATCAAAGGTCCGTGATTTATAAAAGGTTAAGAACTGCTGATCTACAGAATATATTTTAAGTTATAACCGTGATTTATCTATTTATCTATTTATCTATACATAAACACAAGAAATATGATGTAACATTAAAAATATAATAACAACAGTAATAACTGATCTTAATATTCTACATTTTAATAAGAATTATTACCCAACAGTAGTAAATCTGGAGCCGAGATCATAAATACGAATGAGGACCCAGGGTGCTACTAGGTATATACCACTATGGGTCAGACCGCCCCTATTGATCAATTCTTAATTGGCATATAACGATAAAAGATATATATATATATATATATAGGATAACATATGTAAAAACAAAAAAAATGTATTTATGTAGTTCTAAATTTGAAGTTTATTGTCTATTAAATTTCTGATATTTATGACTACAATAATAATCATCATATGTAGAAATAAATAAATCAAACATTTCATAAAATGCATAAGAGACAAATATAATTGTTAAAATTTTAATTCCAACAGGTCACATTCAAGTCCATAAAAAATTAATATTTGTAAGATTCAAGAACTTCCAATCAGTAAACACATTTAATTCAAACTCTGGAAAGATTTATTGATCTATTCTAAAATGTATGAATAATTTAACATAATATTGTAAACAATATACTTTACAATTTATAATGCTGCTAATTAGTATTTAATCATTTATAAATGAGATATTTTTGTTAATTTTTCTGATTATTTTGCCTTGCCTTGAGCTGCAACAGCTGCAATTGCCTTTTTAACTGTTTCCTCATCACCCAAAAATTTCATTGAGACGACTGGTTTAAAGTGTTCATCCAATTCATATTCGAATGGTATACCAGTTGGTAAGTTGAGGTTCATAATTTGTTCTTCTGACAAATCTGAAAAATGAGAATTTACAAAATTGGTTCTAAGTACTTTTTACTTATCATAAGGGAATTTCATTATTTTATTTATTTATTTAATTGTGTCAATACACCAAGTATTTTTATAATATTATAATTTTAATTTTATAATATTATATTTATAATTATATTATAATAATATTTCTACCATTGAAATTTACAATTTATAATTAATATGTTTACAATAATATTTACAAATTTTTGGTAAATTGATTAACAAGTAAATTCTTTTCAGTTGGTAATATTTTGACATACTTTAGTATACATTTATTTTTTATAGCTAACTAGATTTAAATTTTGAGTTAAGCCAGAAATAAAATAGTTTAAAAAAATATTGATATATAATTTTTAATTTTCTAAACCGATTTCAAAAGATTTGTTTACATTTTAAGAGATTGTAAGTACTCGTAAGCTAAATTGTATTTCCGTCTAAGGAATGTAAATAATCAAGATATATTTTATGTTAATAATTTTTTTAAAAATGTTACTAAAAACTAGTGAAAAATGTTATTACTTACCATCTAAATGTTTAACTATGCCTCTAAGACTGTTTCCATGTGCAGCTATCAAAATTTGTTTTCCTTCTTTTAATTGAGGAATGATTACATCATTCCAATAAGGCAATGTCCTTTGAATTGTTAATTTTAAAGATTCAAACATTGGAAATTCATCCTTGGAAGGTTCATCTTTGTAGCGACAATCATTTACAATTTGATCATAGTAAGCATGCTCTTTATCCATTGGAGGTGGTGGAGTATCAAAACTACGTCTCCATATTTGTACCTGAAACATATTAGATATGTAAATAAATGAATCAAGAATTAAAACAAAATATAATGTTATGTATATGAATATTAACCTATATAATAACTATATAACCTAACCTGTTCTTCACCATATTTAGCTGCAGTCTCGGCTTTATTAAGCCCAGTGAGACCACCATAATGTCTTTCATTCAAACGCCAAGTTTTTGATATTGGAATGTCTTCTTGGCCAAGCTCCTTCAATATTGCACCCAGAGTATTTTGAGCCCTTTTTAATACAGATGTATGAGCCACATCAAATTTGTAATTTCCTTGTTTCAAAGCTTTACCTGCACTCGCAGCTTCTTCTTCGCCTGGTGATAAATAATTTATAAAGCAATTATTCCAAAATGAATTGAGTGAATATCAAAACGTATCATAACAAACAACAATTTATATTATTTAAACTTCTATTTTTAAAATAATTAAATTACAAACCTTTGCAACTCAATGAAGCATCATACCACCCACAGAATAAGTTTTTTTGATTCCACTCGCTTTCGCCATGTCTGACCATCACAACCTTGTACTTGGCCATAGTTTGATGTAAAATACAAAAAAATCTCGAAATTTTGATATTAATTTATAAATTTCTGAAGGTGAAGTGAGAAAAATTGTAACCTTGCGTAGTTGGGTATGCGATGTTAAAATCCAATAAGGACGACCACGGACGTCAGTACTGACTAACACTGATAACCGAAAAGCCAAGTGTTACCAAACAATACATTTTAAATACTTTTCAAGAACTTTGATATAATTTATCATTATCATAAATCACAGACTATAGTTCGTGTCATAATCAGTTATGACATAAATTATAAATCCGACGATGTTAACCACGATCTTAAATTTTTTTTTTTTTAAATTAATATTTTGATCAACCCGTGGTTCGGGGAGGCAATAGCCCCTCTGAAATATTTAAGAGGGCGGCAATATTTTTACGGTAATTCTAAATAAAATAAAATCGATTTTTTTACTTTCTCAGAGAAAAATTATTTTTGAATAAATAAAATTATATAAAAATAAACGTTATACTCATTTATATTATTTAGTAGCGTAAAAAATGTATATATCTATTTAAGATTATTTTATTGAGATATAGGTATAGGCTGAATCTTGATTTGTATGGGGATGAGACATTCAGACCGAAGGATACTAAATTATTTAAGGGTACCACCATCAGTTTTATAAAAGAAAATTTTCTATAACTTATGTGATTATAATTCAATTATGATTTTGGATTTGATATTAATTACAAATATTGTATAACATTATACTGAAATCCAACTCTGTCCCAACTTACTAAATCACACTACCGTTCATTCCACTCTAAACTAGCTTAACATACAAACCCGCTAATCAATCATCTTTCCTCCCACGAAAATCCTGTCAACCCTCTAAGAAGATTAAATCGGACCTGGCCTAGAGATTTATTAAAATAATCTGTTGGGTGGCACTACTGAGGCCCTCCCATTCTGTTAATTATTGTTATTGTAAAACATGTGTTATAAAAATTACAAATTGATATAGATTGTAATTATTCTTTTAACAAAAAAAAAAAGTATACTGAAATGGGGAAAACGAATTTCGAGCGGCTTTGTATTGAATAGTTGGAGACATTTATTTTACATTTCTGGGAAGAGGGGTGGCAAAATGTTGTTGTTCCTGGGCGGAGAAATCTTAAATACGATCATGCGTCAACTGGAGTACAAAACTAGACCGTTTGTTATTGTGATTTTTAAATCACAAACTTTATAAGAATGCACATTTACCTGACTAATAGTGATTCACAATCAATTTCAATATAGATTAGCGATTCCCAAACTGTGCACCGCGGTGCCCTAGGGGTACCATGACCATTTTCTAAGGGCACCGCGGTTTACGTACGGTTCATAACAAATAGTTTAAAATGTATAAAATTGCTATTCCTAATAGTTTTCGTTAACATTTTATAGCAAATAATATAATATTTTCTATTGTAAATTCGGATATTCTCATTTTAACCTTATAATAATTTTATATAATAATAATAATCATAATAACAATAATTTTATTTATTTAATTTTTAAGTTAAAAAATGCATTCATTTGTAATTAAGTTAAATTTTAATAAAATTAATAAAATTGATTATTAATAAGTTTTTTTTGTACTGTAATGTAGTTCGCAGGAGGGCACCGTGGCTAAATTGGGTCCAAAAAAAGGCACCGCTGAAAAAAAAGTTTGAGAACCGCTGATATAGATGAATTTGATCATGGTTAATGGTTTAAATACTTTTAAGAATCACTATATATTAAAAAATACTACCGGCTAATTGTTTGGTTATGTTAACCTAACCTCATTTATAAATTTATTATCTCATATTTTGTAAAAATATTAAAACTGTTGTAAAATAGTTAAATAGTTAAATAGTAAATTATGAAAATCTAAACTCTAGCTATTACCCATAATTTATTTAGTTTCATGTTTAATGGTTTTTCGTTACACAAGTTTTTTGATTCTTTGACTAAGATTTCGAATTTTAAATAAAGGTTGTTCATAGAGCATTTTCAATGAACGAACTAATGGATTCTAGAAAATATGTGAAAGTTAAGTGTGACTGGGAATCTAACATTGATAAAATGGACATCAATGATTGTGTGGTGGTACGTCTCCTACCACCTGAACACGAAACCCTCGAATTGTAATATTTTTTTACAAATTGATTCATAACTTTATTTCATGGCATAATTAATGATTATTATTTTAGTGATATAATACGTTTGATTGAAGATACAAATTGCTATTGTATGAATTTTATAAAGCCAGAAGACGTAAACGATCTAATTGTAAACATTAGTTGCGATTCAGAACATCTTATCAATACAATTTTTGTTTGCTCAGAGGTGAGAGTATTACCATAATTCTTTACCAAATTAATAATAATTATTTAAATATTTCAGGCAAAAATTATTGAACTGTTTGGTAAAACTGGAGAGTACGTATCTACACATATCGCATATTATTCCAAAGAATTAAAGGATTTTCCAATGAACAATCATTCGATACTCATCGAAGGTACAGAATGCAGTTTAAAATTTGAACAGCTTAACAAACCCGATTTTGTATGGATTTATGGTGTGCTAATTTATTTAACTGAAGCAAAACAATCTTCTAATACATCTGTAGGCCCTATTAATATGGAGAATGTTCAACATTTATTGAATCCTGAATCATTGACCAGTAATGCTTCAAAATTGTTATCTACTTTAAGTTTTAGAGATCCAAAATTGAATACTAATGAGTTTTTGAACACACTTTTGAAAAACATTGAAACATCTAAACTACCAGATAGTAGTAATAAAGACGAATTAATGTTACATTATTTTAAACTATTTGAAAAGAAAGTTGAGGATAAGCTCAATCATATAACACTCCAGTTGAATGGGTTCGAGAATAATATTGAATTATTGAATAAAAAATTTGACACATTATTGAGTGCACTACATGAAAAAAACAAGTTATGATATTATTTTACTTAATTTTAATGTTTAATTAACTCCCAAATATATCTATATTTACTTATTGTACAACTGAATATTTTGTAACCAAAAATACTTTAAATAAGTTTAAGTTGTAAATTTTAAATAGTTTTAGGACTAATTAATATATATAAATCAATCAACTTTATATTACTAATAAACATAATCACATTGTTACATTAACCTATTCTAAGAAAAATAGGTTGTCAATTTTTTTTATAATTGTATTTATTTTGTTTTAATATATTATGAAATAATAAATTTAATAAATTATATTATATTTTCTGATAGCTGTATAAATTAATGTTAACTTAATGAAAAAATTTAAAATACTATTCCTATTAGTTAAGTATAATAAATAACCAATTATATTTAATGATTTTGAAGCCTTTATATTGATGGGTATTAATATTTCTTTATTACATCTATATTATAATTACTTAAAAATAACTTACTATTAAATGTATTATGTATACTTAATATGTTATATACAATTGTGTACATTTTATTTAAATAATTTTGTTCTATTCATAGGAAAAAAAGAAAGAATGTAATGTATTATATTGTCATTATATTTTTGCTATAAAAAGGTTCGTTATGTGACAAACATTATATTATATTTTGTTCCAATAATTAGTTTATGTTTAAATCAACTAAATCTTTAAATTGCCTGATGAAGTAAAGTTCAACAGTAAAATAAAATAATATATTTAATTTATATTTGTAAATAAATAATTTAATATTTAGATTAAAAATAAAGATACAAACAAAAGCTTGTAACTTTTATTAATTAAAATATAAGTATAAATGTTAAAATTTAATAATTTGTAAAAAAAATAAAAAAATAATTAGACATCTTTATGGTATTAATAAAATTAAATTTTCTGCTTTCTATTTAAAAAAAAAATAAAATATGATTGTCAAAACATTAAGGTACCTTATTAGTATTCAATTTTAATTTTTTTTAATTTAACCGGATTATGAGATGAAACAGCTTCGACTTCTTTAGTCTACTTTACTGTCTTGTCTTAGTCTTTTTTAGACTACATTTTAGGAAGTGTTGAGGCCAGTCATATGATAATGCTACCAATATGTCAGGAAAATACAAGGGTATGCAAGAAATAATATTGAAGATTAACAAGTATGCTATGTATATTCCATGTGCTGGTCATTCCTTGAATCTTGTTGGTAGAGCAGCAGTTGACTGTTGTTTAGATGCAGTAAACTTTTTTGGAATTGTTCAAGAAATATATAATTTCTTTTCATCATCTACCCATAGATGGGCGGTGCTGTTGTCATTCTTCAAAGACTAGTCAAAAGTTCCAAAGTCTTTGTCAAAGACTAGATGGGAAGCACATTCAATAGCCACAAATGTTATACTTGAAAGTTATGATGGAATAATTTCTGCATTGCATCAACTGCATATTGATACAACACAGAAAGGTTAAACAAGAAATCAAGCCATAAATATTTTGAATAAAATGGAAGAGTTTGAATTTATGGTAATGCTATATTTGTGGAGTTACTTACTAAATGAATTTCATAAGACCAGTCAGTCACTGCAAGACCCTCAAATTAGTCTAGATGTATGTAAGAAATTGTATGCATCACTTTTGGATTTTGTTAAAGATTCCAGAAATATGTTCGATCATTTTGAAAAAAAGTGAAGGAAAAATTGCCTGATGTTGATTATAAAAAAAGTAGATATACAGGTAGAAAAAGGCATATTAATGATGATGAAAGTGATGCTTTAGAGAATCTTGAGCCAAGATATAAGTTCAGAATCAAAACATTTTTATCTGTGACAAACGCATTAGAATCAAATCTGGAAAGGAGGGCTTCAGTATACAACGATGCTTCAAAAAAGTTTTCATTCTTAACAAAATTAGAAGCAACAGAAGAAGAGATTTATGAAAGAGTTAGTACTTTATGCCAAACATATCCTGAAGATGTGGACATAAATCTTGTAGGAGAAGTCAAGCATTTTCATCAATATATTAGACATAGTCAAACCTATGGTTCAGCAGAACATGATAGTCTGACACTATATAAGATAATATTTAATGATCGTGTCCAATCAGCATTCCCTAATGCAGAAGCTATATTGAGGTTGTTTCTTAGTATGATGATAGCAAATTGCTCTGGAGAAAGATCTTTTTCTCAACTAAAGAGAATAAAAAATGAATTTAGAACAACAATGACTCAAGATAAATTATGTTCCCTCAGTCTCATGTGCATAGAAAGTGACAAACTACGCAGTTTATCATTTGATGATATCATCAGTGACTTTGCTCTAGAAAAGGCAAGAAAGAGAGTATTTTAGTTTTCTAATTCTGATATTAAATAATAAGTTTTGAAAATTGTTCCTTTCAAAAAATTGTTTTTTCGTTTTACCTAAGTTTATATTTGTATGTTATAAATAAAAATAATATTAAGTTAATGATTTATTATTTCAATTATCTATATACTTTTTAACTGTATTTCAGTTTATTCTTCTAGATATCCAAAAATTATATTTGACAATGACATATTATCATAGGTAAAATTAAAAATACAATTTTTTATAAGGCCAGAAGGCCTAAAATATTTATTTGTTTGATTTAGCCTCTATAATGGTATAAACCTTGTACAATGTATAGAAAATCTAGGAGAGTTTTAAGTGATGTTTTTTTTTAAGAAGAGCTCCGCCACAAATACCCCTTATTTTCGCCTATGCATATAATATCTGCACTTATAAAGGGCCCCATATCTCAAATAGCTTAGGGCCTTATTAAGTCTAAATCCGGCCCTGATTTATTTTTTTATTTTTCGAATTTTCATACTGAATCTTCAAAAATCATAAATTATGCTCTAAAGTCTAAAAATCACTAAGTATGCAAAAATATGCACTAAAAACTTTTTTTATGTTTTTCGTAGGGTATTAGAATGAATTTCTAACTCACTTAGCAATAAATTCAATGGTGTAAAAAAAACATGCAAATGTATCAACTTCCGAGCCCTATTCATGAGTATGCAAAAATAATAATTATGATAAAAACCTTTATTATTTAAAAAATATTTTCAACATTTTATGTAGATATATAAAATTACACATAATATATAAGAAATTTTTTTTTATAAATACAGTGTATACATTTTAATATAATACCTATATATTACAATTATCTCTAAAAGTAATTCCTTTTTTACATAATTATGTTTTTTTCATAACTTCACTAGGTTCCCCAATTCTGTTGATTAAAATATCGTAATACTATATTTTTAATTTCTAAAATATTATCAGGCCATTTAATCTATTATTGTAACGGGCCACCGGGATTTGTCCCGGTGTCCCGCCAGGCCAGTCCATTCCTAACACTACTATATATACATTATTTTACTCATAAATATTGAGCATTGTGAAAATATAAATTATTATTTAAATTATGTCTCATTATTGCAGATTGAAAGAAAAAACAACTAATTTACTTACGAACATAAATTTGCGCTACTACTTGTAGTTAATGTATCATTAAATTCATTTTTTATATTAGGATCCCAACTGTGTAACTTAATTCGCCAGTTTTTAACTAACCCATCCCAAGCTCTACGAGTGAGTTTTAAATTTTTTAGAGGAGTTTTAGGATGTTGATTGGTACGTTTATGCCCAGAAAATAAAAATAATAATAAGATATTTTTTTTTTGTAAAGAAAAATAAAAATTACATACTTGGGAACATTTTTTACGTATAATTCATACCCAATAGTATTTTTACCAAAATCAATTTGTTTTTGTCTCCTTTCTATAACTAAAGGATTTAACTCGTGTTCAAGTTTTAATCTATCAGAGAATAAAATAAAACTTTTTAAAATCATATGGATTAATAATAAAATTAATAAGTACTTAAATATTAACTGTTAGTCAAGGTAATGAGATTCAAGGTATATCTTAAAATCAAAGAAAAACGTTAGGTGCACATTTATCAAACTAAATTAGGATTAAAACTAAGAAATTTAATAATTTTAATTTTCAAACAAAGCTTGTAGAGTCGTGTAACAAAACTGGAGAGACTATACATATCAACACATATTGTTTTTTCCTCCTAAAATATAAATAAAATGTTTATAAATTCTACATGAATAATTATCATTAATAGGTATGGAATGCTATTTAAATTTTGAATAATTGGAAGATTATTACCAGGGCTCGGAACTTCATTCATTAACATATTTCTTAGGAAGTTGCATATTCAAAATCTAATTTGATAAAAATTTGTTTCGTAATCCTTACAATTGAAATACAAAAATTTATTTTGCATATTTTACTAAATATAAACGATTTTGCATACTTTAAGGTTTTAAGCATATTAATGCAAATTATTTTTACAATTTACTATGAATAAACAGCAAATATATTTTTGAATGATAAAAATTATAAGTTAAATTATATAAAAATAATTAACTGGTGAACACCATAACTTTGACTTTAAAAATTAAAACAAATTTCTTCTATTCTTAGTGGATCTATCTCCACCATGGATGGTCTTCGCGAAGATCTGACAATAAATTACCTTACTTTCTACAATGGCGAGTGAATTATGTAGGTAGACATTGAAAGATCATTTCCTGTTTATAAAAACATTCAGAGCCACAAAAGATGATCATTTAAACTCGAAAACGAAAACATTAAAAAACATCTTATCATTATGTATGTACATATTTCATTGTTTTTTAGCCCATAAAATCCGAGCCCTGATTATTACTTTATTTAAGTTGGTATTATTATAATTTATTTATTTAAAAGAACATCTTAAAGAAACTTTAGGACTTTGTGTGCTAATAGTAATAAGGACCAAGTTATGTCAAATTTCAACAATTTGACAGCATTTTAAGCACAAGCTTAATACGACACTTCAATTCAATATATTTGTTAATGCATTGAAATGTTGAGTTAAAAATTAAGTACAAAAAATTGTAACATTTAAATGCATTTTACAAAAACAACATGTATATTAATTTATTTTTATTTATTACATTTTTAATTACTATACTACATTTTTAGGTGAAAATATTCATATATTATTATATATTAATTATACAAATAAATACTTAAGGCATTAAGTAGTATATTTAGAGTACTGTTCAGATAAATTTATTTCAGTACAAAATCAAGCTTATATTTTTTAGTTTTATAAGAAAATAATCTTAGCATAGTTGCCAAATTAAAAAAATAAATGTTATTTAACTATCACAAGAAATATATTCAAATATTTAAACATACCTTCTAGAATAATACATTTTATTATAGAAATCAACTCTTTTTTATTATATAAAAAAAAAAAGACAAAATACATCAGATGAGGTATAGGAACAGGTGAATGATATTGATGTAATGGTCTTATAAATTTAAAATTAATGTAACATTCTTTTTGAAAAATCTATTTTAAGTGAAAGAGGTTGAGTAGATCAATTTATATTTCTTAAGATGGTTGATATAGTAGAACAAAATTTCTTAACAGAGTAGTTAGGTTAAACTTTAAATGTTCTAACTTTTGCCAAAAAAATAAAAGGCAACGAGGTACTTAAGTTAATATCATTAAGATTTCATTATCTCCTCTCCCCTTTTTTAACAATTTATAACTAATTAGTATATTAAATTAAGGAAATTCGATAATTTCTAGTACAAATAAGTAACACACATTTTATAAGAATATTTTAAAACAATTAAATGTCTTCAAAATGCAAATATAAATAGTTCAGTAAATATTTTTGATTGTTACAATTAATACGTTTTATAGAAAACATCCAAATATAATAATAATAATAATAGAATATTGAAATAACATATTTCTTCAACATTTAATTTTCTAATGCATATAACACTTAAGCAACTTTCTAGTAAATATTTTATATAACTACACAAAAAATTTTATGAAAAATCTTGTTTTCAATTTTCAAGCCTTAAGTATAAAAATTTAAAGATTTATAGTCTTAACTACTAAAATATCATGAATCACTGTGATTTTTATCAAAATGTAAAACTCAAACACTAATAAATTACTTTATTAAAAACTATACCAGGTAGTAAAAGAATATAGTGCTTACAGTTATTAATTTTTGAGTTAAAATTAAAATAAAATTTCAATGTTGTTGAAAACTGATCAGTTGTTAATATCGCTATTTTTTGCAATAATTAAGAAAATTGTAGTAAATTTAATAAAATGACCCCCATAAAGTACCAAATAATTCCTATCGGATGTCTCTTATAGTGTTATAAACATACAAAAAAACATACATCATGACCAAACTAAAATTGACAGAAGTATTTATTCCAATTTGGTAATTATAATGAATAATCAACTAAACTTAATAATTTTAGAATCTTTATTATATTGATAAATATATCAATATTACTTAATATACTTAAAAGTAACTAGTCTTAAATGTATTATTTTATCTATAAATTATAATATAAAATTTTATTAATTTCAATCTAAATAATTTTATACTATTCGTAAGAAAAAATGAATACAAAATACAAAATTTTTAATTAAACTTATGTTATATATTATTGTTATAAAATGGTAAAAAATATGTAGGAAACTTTATAATACACGGTCAATTTTAATATAAAAATCTAAATAACAGAAAATTATATATAGATATTAAGTTAAATAATTTTTTGATTTATAGTTTATAATGTATAAATCAACTCAATATTAAAATTGATTATTGAAGAGAGTTCAAGCGTAAAAAACATATATTTTATTATTCATCTGTAAATTAAGAATTTAATTTTTTTTAGTAAAATATAGGTACAAACAAAAACTAGAATTAATTAAAATATAAATACAGCTTTTTACATTTAATCATTTGTTACTGTTGTAATGTTAATAAAATTAATAATTTGCAATTTAATACAAAGTTACTATACAGCCTGTTATTTTTCAAAAAGATCTTAAGATGGTCAAAAAATTCTTGGATAAAAAATAAACATAAATGGATATTTTATTAATATTCAGTTTTATTTTTCTTAAATTTAACTGGATCAGGAGATGAAACTTCTAGTTTTTCTCGCTTTACTTGTGCAGAATGTTCAGATGAACTATTTATATGTGGTGGTGTTGATGATCGAGAGTCTGAGGCCTGAGAATTTGAGTCCAAGCTAGTCATTGATCCAAGTCTATATTTCAAAATAAAATTGATTTAAATTAAAAAAAAAATGAAAGAGCATAATAAAAAATTCTTTAACAAAGTTTTTAAATTGCACTATTGGAATCCATTTTATATGCTACAAACTTTTTTCATTATGTGCAATGTATCCAAAATTAATTATGAAGCTTAAATAATGTTGTGAAAGCAGAGCAGGACACTATGCATAATGCACATAATATAAATTATTTAACACTACACATTCATTATTGTCTATGTTAAAAGTAATTATGACTTTTGGAGAAGCAACAAGAAGAAACATAATGAAAAATATAATTTAATTTACACTGACAACTTTCAATAGCACTTCTAACAAAAACATAACATTAAATCTTCCTTACTATAAAATTAAGTCTAAAGTATAGCATAAAGTAATGATGAATATTTATCTAACTATTTAACCCTAAGTATTTTAACAGACAACTAGTAAGACAACTTTTTTTTAGTTCCTTATTTTAAATTTTTAGTTTGCACTGAATTTATTTAGTTCTAAAATAAAAAATATATAAATCTATAAAAAAAAAAATATAAATTATTGTCCATTATTACAGATTAAAAATTATTACTCATTATTACAGATAAAAGAAAAAAAACCATCAATTTACTTACGAACATAAATTTGAACTAGAACCGGTAGTCAAAGTATCATCGTCATTACATTTGTTATCAGGATCCCAACAATGTAATTTAACTCGCCAATTTTTAACTAACCCGTCCCATGCTCTGCGAGTAAATTTCAAATTCTTTGGAGGAGTTTTAGGATGTTGTTTGGTACGTTTATGTCTAGAAAATAAAAATAAAAATATTATATTTATTTTGTATAGAAAAATAAAAAGTACATACTTGGGAACATTTTCCAGGTATAATTCATACCCAATAGTATTTTTACCAAAATCAATTTGTTTTTGTCTTCTTGCTATAATTAAAGGATCTGTCTCACGCTCAAGTTTTATTCTATATAAAAAAAAAAAAACTTTTAAAATCACATGGTATTATAAGGTAAAATTTTTATTATTTATATAAGCAGACTTAAATATAAATTCTAAATTAATAAAGGTGTATTTTATGTTTAAAGAAATATTGGGATGCACAACTAAAATTTAGATTAAAGAATAAAATAATCTACATTAGATGAATTCATCAATATTTAATACTAGTTTTAAATTAGAAACATTTTACTATAAAATACAAATCTAAAATCAATACTTTGAAATACAAAAAGTAGATAGACAAATATGCAATCTATTTTACAAAATATTTCAATAAATCTATATAACAAATGTTATTAGGTAATAACAATATGAATTACATTAGTATCTTGTTAAATATTTTTATCAAATTGAAAAAAATATACATACTTAGGACTTTGATCGGTATCATGTATATTTTTATGGTTTGTTGATTTTTTATTAAATTTATTAACTCGCTCAGGTGTTTTAAGATCAGAAACTGTAGATTCAGACTCTGAAGTTAATCTTCTCTTAGCATGAAGTATATCTTTGGTGTCTTTTTGAAGTTTTTCTATTTCATTTTTAACTTGTTTGATCTTTAATTTTAGTTCCGGTGTGTCTTCTGTTTCCTCCTTTTTTATAAATGGACTGCTGATGGTGTCTTCATCAATAATAACATTTGATGGATGTTGATCATTTTCTTGTTTGATGGGTGTTACCATGTGCACATTATTCATAAAAGAGGTCAAACTGAGGTCATCATGAGGCGCTCCTTTTACAATTTCTTTTTTGACAGGTTGGAATACAAGATCATACAATTCATCTTCTTCATTATCCTTTGCACAGATTTCATTGTTCTTTAATGGTGAATCAGAGTCCAACTGCGACGACTGTGAACTATCACAAAGGTCGGCCCAGTTCTTACCGGCTATGTCAGTGATTGTTGATTTAACATCTCTATTTACGTCAGTCATTTCGTCTACCTCGAAGCAATAATAATAATAATATTATTGAAAACAAAAACGAAAAAACGATTTATTTGATTCGCGCGTGATCATATAAAAAAAAAGACATGTACAATCGCGCCGTGTATAACAGTTAACGAGATTGGTGTAATCGGCAACTATTTATTTACTGATATGGAACGGAAAACGATTGTTGTAGACTAAGAGAACTAAAGACGAAAATTACATTTATTTAAAATCATCATTGATCACATAAAATATGACATGTGTTCCAGAAGTACACACTTCTAGAACGATGGAACGGAAGAACAACAACGATCGACAAGATTACCTACAAACACCAAAAAAACAAAAATGGTTTTAATTCAAAATGCAGTAAGGCAATTCGAGAGAAAATATGTATGCATAGATACATGGATATATATAAATATATATGTAAATACTACGGATATTATTGTGATAAAACATAATAATATTTAATGTATCAGTGTGTATAATGTGTAAGGCGATGTAAACAAAATTCGCGGGAAAATCTGTACCGTGCAGAGACAGTAGTACCACTTTAATTTTCTTTTTAGGAAATAAATCCAATAGGTTGTAAAACACCACCGTGATTGAAAAACGTATTTTGGACTGACAAATCGCGTAGAATAACAAATTATTTCAAACACCATTGTCAATTAATTCATCTGTGTTCATGGGAACTCTTGGCGGCGTCTGCGACACCTGATAACTTTACATCCGCGTTATCGTCAGCACTGTACTCAAAATCCAAACAATTCGGCCATATTTATTATTATTATCGACGTTTTGTTGTTGTTTCTCGCGGCGCTTACCGGGTACTACGAAAATCGCCTGAACTTTTCCCGAAAGCTCGTTAGTTTTCGATTGATTTTCACCCGATTGTCCGTCACTCAACGTTACAATGCTGGCCTTGGGTCCAAAGAAGGACGGTAGTCCTAACGTGAAGTTTTTCGAATCGCCGGAAACGCTTAACATGTTAGAGGGCGTAAAGACGTGGCTTATGAAAAATCACAAAAAGGTAAGACCATAATCTTTTCATTGATGTAATATTCATGAATGATTATTTCGAATCCGATTAATCCTATCCTAACTAGTTAGGATTCAGTTTATACTAATATATGGTATTTTCATTTAGTATCTTCAAGCCGATCCACCAACCAACAAAACACTTGCTGCTCTGGTGTTGCAATTGATTCAATTTCAGGAAGATAACCTAGGCAAAAATGTCAGTAAGCCACCACTCACTCGCCTGCCTGTAAGTTATTCATCATTAATGATACCCATATTTTTTGATTACCATTAAATAGTGTTAAAGTTATTTTCCATACAGGTTTAATAGTTTCCAACTAACCATTGTTTATAATTTTCTTTAGATGCGTTGTTTTATGGATTTCAAACCAGGTGGTGCTCTGTGCCATTTGCTGGCTACTGTCTACAAGTTTAAGGTGGAACAGGGGTGGCGAAGATTCGATTTCCAGGTCAGTAAGGTATGATTTGGCGAGACGAGCCTTCATTTCACCTCACCACTAACCACTAATCGGACGTGCACGCCTGACCTGTTGTTATAATCCCACGCTGTCAATTTGTGTTGCTATAGCTCGTCTCCAATTTATTATTATTGGTATTCTAATATGTACAAAATTTGTTCATGTTGCCCGTGTTGTGTGCTTGTTCTGTGGCAACCACAAAGTTAATAACATGCCAAGCACGCACTTTATGCACCTATCTATCCTCTTTCCTTTAGGTTATCATCCTAATCCTAATCCTTTGCAATAAATTACATCAATGGATTATACAAGTAACATAATTGATTCAAGTATTTATTCAGTGTCTAGTGTAAAATAACAAATTGAGTAGTTCATCATAATTACTCAAAATTTATGAGTATATACATCAGGTCTTTATTAATATTATTTATTTAAAGTATAATTTTCTCTTGTATTTCGTTATTTTCAATAATAATTTATTAATAATTCTACATTTTGGTATAACGGTTCCAAATTATTGTCAAATTTCTTTTAGTCTAACTAGTTTAAATATTTAAAGTCAAAATAATTTTAATGATTTTAGAAATTACTTTTAGAGCTACTACGATTATGTTACAATATTAATATTTTACAATACATTTATATTTATTTAAATTAAACTCCAATATGAGCACATACACTTTGAATTAGTATAATATATTCTTTATGTAATAAATAAACACAATTTTTTCTTGTCTTGTGAATTTTAAATTAATTTTTTTTTAATTTTACTTTTTTAAAGAAATAATATTAATTGGTAAAAATACTTGGTTAAATCAATTGCATAAATTAATTTTTTCTCTAATATATTTGATAACGCAAGACATGTTAAGAATATAGACTAACATTTTAAAGTTATTTTAAAATAAGTAAGATAAATTTGTATGTACATATATATTCACATTGTAAATAATTTAAGCTAAATGCCTGGAAAGCAAACAACTTTTTACGCATGATTCTGCTATCAAGGCATGTAAATGGTGAATAACACTTCCTAATTTAGGACATTTCTGTATTTTAAAATTTAAATTTGGACTATTAAAATATGTATTATAAATTAAATTAAATCCATTTTGATTAAACTATGATTAATGGTTATTATTTAAAAACAATATTTAATCACTTATGAATATATATAAGTGGTTTAAAAAATGTATAAGAATTCATTAATTGAGGCCCAATTCGGCCCAAATTGTTTTTTCAGTTGTTCATTATTGCCAGGATGTTTTTAAAATAACATTACTTAGTACTTAATTTGTTTTCATTAATTACTAATTTATATAGTAAAATATGATGGTATATCAGCTCTATTATATAAAGATACTAATTCTTAATTTCAAATTAATTAAATTAAATTATTAACACATCAATATCATAGAAACATAATATGTGTTCTATAGTTACTAAATTTCTGTTTTTTACAACTTGATTTTATTTTGTATCAAAGAAAATAAAAATTATTTTGTTCTTAGCTGAATTGAATATACTAGATGGCATTTCCAAACATTCTGGTAACAATATCAAGCCCTGTACTCAAATATAAATTTAAAAACAAAAAATAACCATTTGCTATATATATATTGTTATTAAGTTATTTAATTTTGTAATTATTTATAACTTATTGGTGCTTAATATTTATATTCACCATAGTATCTTAATATATAATTATTAATAATTTGATCAATTATAATAGGCTTTTATACTGTGCACCATTTGCAAGCAAATTATACATTTAATTGTATTTCATAATTTCTAAGTCTATTATATGTATAATTGGGGCTAAAAAAAACTGCTTATGTGTTTCAAAATTATCAATATTTTGGTGTAAATAGAAATAGTTTAACAACATTTGTGTGCTTGTTAATTTGAACTAATATATTTTTTCTATACTAATGCAGTTATAAGAATATTAGGTAAAATGTTTGAATAATAATGTATAGAACATTCAAGGTGTTATATATAGTATTAAAATATTGAATAACAAATGTTCTTCAAAAATAATGTTCATATGCTTGGTAATATTTGCCATTTAATTTTTTTTATACATATTTTATTTGATATTGTAAACTGAAGTTATTACAAAAAACTTTAAAGTACTATATATTTATATTACAATATCAAAATTATATATCAAATGAGTATAAATTAATACTTTTTTTGTTTTAAGAAGATTACTTATTTAAGAATTCACCTTTTTTTTTATAAAATATATTTATTTTAAGTTACTTATTCTTGAAATAAATATTAACACTTAAATTAAATCAGTTGCAGTTATACTATTTTTTAATTTGTATAAATGTGAATTATTTTTTAGTATTTTTAATTAAAATTACTGTATATTTTGGTATGTTTAATAATTTTATTTAAATTTATTAAAGAAAAATACTTCACACATGATCATTCTGGTTTATTCACAGAGTCCTTCTAGAATGGACAGAAGCATTGAAATGTTTATGAATGTTGAAAAAGCTTTAATTCATGCCAAATGTTTATCCATGCCAGTAATTCTTATTCATCCTGATGTTGATAAGACTGTACAAAACCGCATAAAGGATATTATTAAAAGGCATCAAGGAACACTTACAGGTATTCAGGTATAAATATGTAATGTAAAGTGAATTTAACATTTAAATTGTATGTTTTTTAATATAGAAAATGAACAAGAAGCTACTCATATATTATTTCCAGTCGTCGACCCATTAGATGAAGAATATGCCCGACCCGTATACAAAAATAAAGAGCGCTGGATACAAATGCATTGGTATTATTTCCCTGATTCTCATGATTCATGGGTTAATACTGAATTACCAGTTGAACCTCCTGAAATATTATATGGCAATCAACATCCTACTCCATGGAGGGTAATTTTTAAATATTTTGTATGCAAATCATTAGAGGCCATATGGATTGTATATCTGCTATGTTCTTTTAAAATTGTTTTACTTATATATTTTGCAATGACAATTTCTGAGAAAATTTTTTGCGAATAAGCTAAAATTGATTTATATGACATTTATTTGTCTTGAACCATATATTTATAGTTTTCATTATTTAGTCTAATTTACCAATATAACTTAATGTTATGTAATACCACTGTTATTATTAGTTTTATACAACATGGTAAAAAATGTTGTGAAAAATATTAAAAAGTATAATAAAGTTCAGAACACATTAGTAACAGAAATCTAATTTTGTTCAATAATAATTTTTATTACTAGGAAAATTTTATCTATAGCTCATTTCTCCAGAATTATTTTTGAAGTACTGTCCAAGATCATTCATTGATAATATATTTTTTATTTAAATTCATTATAAAATTATATAATGTTAAATTAATATTCCTACATTTTAATACAGTATGATTTTTTTTAAATTTTTGAAAGTTACTTTATAGTGGTTAAAAGGTCCTTGGTTCATTTTTATGAATTTAAAGTCAAGCATAGTTATAACTGTCTTTAGGCTTAAGTATTAAAAGTTCTCAGTAAAATAATATCAAATAGTTAAACAAAAAACAATTTTATTCATTTAATTTTGTTAAATATTTTTATTGTTTAGGTTACTGCCTCTTGGGTCCTAGATTTAGATACATACAATGAATGGATGAATGAAGAAGATTATGAAGTTGATGAAACTGGCAAAAAGAAAATCCATAAAGTATAATAATTATATGTTTAACATATTTTAATATATTGATAACTATAACATTATTATTGTAGTTGCGATTATCTGTTGAAGACTTAATGAGTAGTAATGATCCTTCAGTAGGAAAGAAAAAACCAAAACGTAAACGAACTCCATCACCACCTCTAAAGCCTAATAAACGTAAAAGGTAATATAATTGTTTTATGTTTGATTTGTTTTTCTTATTTAAGTTAATTGTTATTTCTTAAGTGGACGTGGAGGTTCTGTGATGAATGTAAAAAAAAATAAAATTGATGATGATAGTGATGATCTTACTAGAGATCTTGAAGACCCAGTAGCTGAACCAAATATTTCTGAAATCAATTTAAATTTATCTCAAGTAAAAACAGGTAAATTATTTGTATTTTTGGTTGTTAATTACTTTTTAACATAGTTTTATAATTTAGGATCATCTTCATCAAAAAAAGATAGTGATTCTCAACCAATAAGAAGTGGTACACTTATGGATTTAGATGAAGATTTAGATAAAAGTGAAGATAATAAAAATTATGATAATAATGCACAAGATGGTACAAGTTGTCCTGCATCTGGAGTATCTAGTACTGGAGGTGCTTTATCTATAATAAAAGAAGAAGTACCAGAAGATAATGCTACTGAACAAATGCACCATATTGTTATTCCAAGTTATGCTGCTTGGTTTGATTATAATTCTATTCATACAGTAGAGAAACGAGCCTTACCTGAGTTTTTCAATAGTATGTTATAAAATAACAATGAATAATATATATATATATATAATCAAAATATTTTAATTTAACAAATAGTATTTAAATTTAAATTTTATTTATTTTTTAGATAAAAATAAATCTAAAACTCCTGAAATATACTTAGCATATCGAAATTTTATGATAGACACTTATAGACTTAATCCAACTGAATATATGACTAGTACAGCTGCTAGGCGTAATTTAGCTGGTGATGTTTGTGCAATTATGAGAGTACATGCTTTTCTTGAACAATGGGGTCTTATTAACTATCAAGTATGTTCTTTATTTAATTTATTATATATTTAATTATCAAAATTATTTATATAAATATATATTAAATGATAAAATTAATCATTTTAGGTTGATTCAGATAGTAGACCAACTGCAATGGGTCCTCCACCTACATCTCATTTTCATATATTATCTGATACACCTTCTGGCTTGCAACCAGTTAATCCACCTAGAACTCAACAGCCTTCAGCCGCTAAAACACTCTTGGATTTAGAGAAAAAACCCTTGACAACTGATAAAGATGCTGCTCATCACCCAGAACCACTATCTAGTTTTGGACTTAAATTAGATCAGTAAGTTAAAATTTCTTGAAATGATTTAATGTGTTTTTAACAACCATTATTTTAGGTATGCTAAAAAACCTGGTTTGTTACGAAATAAAACGGCTGCTGGAATGACAAGAGATTGGACGGAACAGGAAACTTTGTTGTTACTTGAAGGATTAGAAATGTATAAAGATGATTGGAACAAAGTTTGTGAGCATGTTGGCACCAGAACTCAAGATGAATGTATTTTGCATTTCCTTCGTTTACCAATAGAAGATCCTTATCTTGAAGATTTTGAAACTGGTAAAAATATTACTAGTGTATAATAATACAATTTTACTAAAGGCTATTATAATGTTAAAAATGACATTCAAAATAATGATATAAATTATAAACAATTGTTAAAATGAATGCTTATTTATTAGGTGGTGCTTTAGGTCCTTTGTCTTACCAGCCAATTCCATTTAGTAAATCTGGAAATCCTATTATGTCTACTGTTGCTTTCTTAGCATCTGTAGTGGATCCTAGAGTTGCTGCTGCAGCAGCTAAAGCTGCCATGGAGGAATTTGCTGCAATTAGAGTAATATTTTGTTATTTTATTACTTAAATGAAAATATTGGTATTAAAATTAAATAACTCTAGGATGAAGTGCCTTCCGCTTTAATGGATGCACATGTTAAAAACATTGAAGCAGCAACTACTGATGGAAAATATGATCCAGCTGTTGGACTTTTACAAGTAATATTGAATTATAATTTTATAATTCAAGCTTTTCATTAAGAAATTATATAATTTTTTTTAGAGCGGTATTGCTGGTACTTATCCTGAAAAAGAAGAAGAAAATGAAAAGGAAAAAAAGGAACCTGAAGATGTCAAAGATTCAACATTAAATGCAGATAATGACAAACTTGTTCGAACTGATAAAGAAGGAATATCAGAAAAAGATAAAGAACAACCAATGGATGTTGACAAAAAACCTTGTGATGAAATTACGGCCAGTACTCAATCAACTACTGTTAATCTTACTTCAGAAGAAGAACCTGAACGAATAGTTAAGGTAATTATTGTTGACGATTTAATTTAAATAATTAACTAATAAATTTTTTTTTTTTTTTGTGAATCATTAGGATTCTGAAGTACAAGCTGCTGCTGCAGCAGCTTTAGCTGCAGCTGCTGTTAAAGCAAAACATTTAGCTGCTGTTGAAGAACGAAAAATTAAATCTCTGGTCGCCTTATTAGTTGAGACTCAAATGAAAAAACTAGAAATAAAACTTAGACATTTTGAAGAATTAGAAACAACCATGGAAAGGGAGCGTGAAGGTTTAGAATATCAGAGACAGCAGTTGATTCAAGAGAGACAACAATTTCACCTAGAACAATTAAAGGCTGCTGAATTTAAAGCTCGTCAACAAGCGCATTTCAGACTACAAGCTGCTGGTGTACCTCCTCCAGTTCCTAATCCTGAACATGTAGCGCCTGCATCCCCAGCACCACCTATGGCTACATAAAATATGCATTTCCAGAATTACAAAGCCTTATAATGTAAGTCAAATTAAGATTATAGTTTCATTATTTTTAAAATATATCAATAACTAACATGTTTTAGTTTTTGGTAAGCTATGCATTGTATTCATTTTTCTCATTTTTGAAAGAAAAGTGTAAACTATTTTATTAAATGACTAATTATGGACCAAAAAAAATAAAAATAGATTGTATATAAATGTAATTTTAAAAGCAATTAAATTTAATATATATATATATATATATATATATATATAATGCTTAATTTGTAAATTTAGTATTTTATTATTTTGAAATTAGTATTTTATTTAGTTTTATTTTATCGAGAATGATATGAGAACCATTGGTTTGTGCCTAGGGAATATAGAAAATCGATAAAAGTGGAAGTTAAGGACAAGGGTGGCCAACCCCAAATTGTTGGGAGAAAGGCCAAGGAAAAGAAAAAAATGTTGAGAATTTAATTATTTCTGTAAACTGAAAAATTGTTAATCTTAAAACTAAGTTTTAATATCTAATTTATGAACTGTTAAATATTACAAGTATGTAAAATACTTAACTTTTAAAAATTATATCAATTAAAATTTTAGTGTGATATTACATTTCTGTATTATAATTAAAAAATACTGCCCCTAATTAAAATTTTCACAGATATATTTTGAAAATAACTGTAATATAAATTTTGATATCAATACAAACTTAAAAATATTAAATACTCAAAATAACTTGTGCTCTTTTTATTTATTTTTTTATTATAGTTTTTAGTACGAATTGCAAAAATTCAATCCTCCTCAATAATGAATATTAACAACTATCTTTTTGTAAGTTTTAATACATTTATATAATTGTATTATTACAATATGCCTAAAATCATTTAAATCTAATGATTTCAGTTTTAAACAGAATCAAATATAATTTATATTTTGATTTAACCGGCTTCTATTTATTGTTGAAACATAAATCGATTATTTTAGGTAACTTAAGTTCTAATGATCTTATCAGAGGTTTCCAAACTACAGTCTGTGAACAAGTTTTATCTTCCCCCCCCCCCCCCTAACAATCAGCTAATAATCTAAAAATGTGTAGGATCCAAAGTTTTTTACATAATTATATTTTTATATATCTAAAAAATTAGAAATTACATGTGTTCACATATTTTGGCCTGTTAAGAGCTTTTCATATTTTATGTGGCCCTTGAGTGAAAAATTTGAATACCTCTGATCTTTATAATTGAACTTGCACCATTTCTGCAAATAAAATTTATTATTGTTTTATTTTTAAAAATACTATTTATTTTATTACTTATAATTTTAAAATGTATTATTAAATATTCAGTCAATATAGAATATTTACAATAGAGTATTTAAAATTTGATTCTATATTACTTTTATTTACAGGTGAATGTGGCTTATTTGAATTCTGGATTAGTAGCATATTAATTATATTCAGTTGATGTTTTGTAAGTACTTTCGTATTCACATGTAAATATTTAACTATTTATAGAATCTTATTGTAATTGTCAATTTAATAATTATATATTATAAAACTTATTTTATTCAATAGATAAAAATATATATAACTCGTATATATATATATTAAACGGTTTATATTATTAAGGTGAACAATAAATTGTATTACATTTGTTTGATATGTAATTTAATAAGAAAAATAATGTTTATTTATTTTCATATTTTTATGTTACAATATTTGTTTCTCTTTTCTTACTTATATAATACAAATTATTGATATCTTAAAACATTTTCATGGATCCCAAAACTATTTTATATTATATGTACAATTGTTTGATTTAATACAATTAAAATATAAGTCTTTTTTATACTTATTAAAAATATGATATGTACAAATTATACTCTTTTGATTATTTGTTTTTGAAAGATATACAAAATTCTAGTTTAAATGTGTTTTCAAATTACACAATTATTTCTAGTATTAAAACTAATACAATTTATTTAAATTGTTAATGTACAAATAATACCTTAACACATTTCTTTATTAATTTATTATATCACTACAATAAATATATTTATGTGCATGAGGCACAATACAATAAGATGTATTTATACTACTGAACACTCAAGAAAATATATTGAATTGAAAAATAGAGTGATTTTAATTATTATTATTATTATTATAATACATTTATAAAGTATATATTATTTATATTGTATTTTGGATATAGCAAAATGGTTGATTAATTATTACCAAGATAAATACATAATTTATTGATAAATCTAAGGGAAATTACATTTGAAAGCCATTGTAAAATTATAAATCCATGATTATTTCTAATAAGTGCTCTATCTATATATTTTGTCATTTAGCGTAGTTATAATATTGTTTAATAAATTGGTGATAGACATAGTCATCCTATTCCGTAATTTGTGTTCATATATTAATATATTTCTCACCTTAATTTCTATAGTTATCGTACACAAATTTAATATGCATATAATTATTAATTATACAATTATTATTTTTAACTATAATATGAAATACTCAGGTAATATGTTATGCATGTGTTATTGTATAAGTTAATATTAGTATTAATTAATATAGATGATGGTAAAATAATGAAATATAGTATATTATATTGAAGAGTAGACCAAATATTATTTGGACATTTTATGAAAAGAAATTGGAATAACACGTATTGCAATTCTGCATTATATATATAACATTAACATCATAGAACTATGGCACATTGACCTTATACAGTGTTTATTCATCATTCTCTAATTGATAATAGGGTGAATCACAATAATTTGACATGTATATATAATATATAAGTACAAGTATAAAATAAACTTAAAATTAATGTCACATCAATGTAAAAATTATATTTTTTTAAAGTCTGCGTATTAGTTAATATGTCGATATAAAATGTGCATTGCAGGCTGGGTCAAGTGCAATATGAGATTGTGTACAACATAAATATGCATACTGTAATATAACACACATTGCAAACAACACAACCTAATTTGCAACATTTTTTTGGTTTTCAAAAATCAAGAGTGTTAACCTTGATAATTTCTTTTCATTCAAGTTCCGTGTGCCAGAAGTGAAGATCTTGTAAGAATTTTAGCAATTTTGCCAATTGGCCGGGACATGTGCAATATTAGTTGAAATACCATTATACAATAGTTACACAAGTCATCGACCAACTGGTAAACGCTTTAATATTTTCGAAAACCACGTGTCTGTAAAAAAAAAAAAATTGAGTATTTAATGTAAAAAGAAAAATATCGTTCCTTCGCCGTACGTAATGCATCGTAGTCATTCAAGGATAGATGGAGACGATCGTAAACCTGTTTTCGTCAAGTATACATAATTGGAACACAATATATTCACGAGTAAAATTAGATATTAGGTATACAATAAATATAACTGGAATATTAAATTGTGAGCTTCGCATGAATAGCGAATAAATAGTGACAATTAATGACATGTAGCATGTACTTAAAACGGGATTTGATAACGTGTTAAAAGGTAGTTTTTTCCACGTCTGTATTGGAATAACTACCATAAAAAGAGATAATTAGGGAGATATTATTAGAAATCAATTGTGCTTTGTTAGGAATTATTTTTTTCTAACCGCAGCATTGTTTATACGTCGTAAATGTTATTTTTGCCATTTAAGTCTAGTTACCTTTAAATTACATTTGGTCAAAACATCAAATAGTCCAAAATATTTACATCAATGGCCTAAAATATTTGGTTTAATGCAAAATAATTTGATCAGAAGAAAATAAAAATAAATAAATTGTTCATTCCATAACTAGTTTATTTACCCGTATACAACTTTCGTGTACCGAAGATAATTAATAACAACAGCAGTGGAATGGTATAATTTTCAATTTCAAATATATAATACAACTATAGTATAACGATGTATTATATCTCTTTATTAAACGCGAAGCATGTACACCGGGTGATTGACGAAACATCTGTCTTGCTTTTGACCGCACGACCAAATGTTAAATTTAAAAATACTACTTCAGTGAATAATAAATCGATGTGCTTTCATTCCGTATTATAATTTATACTATGTAGCATGTGCAGTGAGCACTTAAATATCTCTATGGACAATGCTAACTTTTCATCGCAGTATAAGGGTGCCGTAGTTTTTGAACGTATTATATTACGGGTTATTATGATTAAGTAATTTGTTGAAAAAAAAACACGTATGAAATAAGATGTTTAGTATTTGTTATTTCTAATTATTTGAACGCCTGAAATTAATTTTTAGGACTTGTGTCCTAAACGCTAATTAAAGAAAATTTTACTAATTCAGAATAATAAATCTAAAAAATAATGAGACGCATTACGTTCGGATGTGACATTCAATTATATCAACGTTTTATGTTGTGTAATTAATTTATTAATAACCAACTGCTTATAAAATAGTATAAAACACAATGGGAAAAACAAAGGAAGATATTGTTAATCGGTGCATATGAATTTATATTTATATTATATATTTAATTTATTTCGAGAACCTACACATATAGCCTAACTATGGTAAATTTTTATCAAACAGTATATTATGAAAAGAATTGAGTAAAAAGGGTTTTCGTTCTGTGTAGTAAACACTGAGTACATAAGTACCGAAACGGCAAATAATTAATACAAGCAAACCAGTTTCGAGTATATCACGATACCGGTATCTCGGACGAGCGACTTGGCCGAGTTTAGAAATCAATGGAATGGAAGTAATTGTTATCGACAAAAAAAACCTACGCGTTAATATCGAAAAGTCTGCATGAGAAATATTAAAAATATACGATGTGATATTGTCCAATTTGTTTTACTACGAAACCGTACTTTAACGTGTTTTCGATTTATTTCAACGATTATTGCAGTAGAATGGAAACGGAACAATGCTCTTCGATGACTTTCATTGCATAACCCATCCACTCTGGGGTCCGAATCGATTAGTTTGTTTTAGTTGTTTTAGTTTTACCTGCCGACGGAACGCTCTAGATTCAACGGAAAAAAACCGGCGAAGGATGTAGTTTGTTTTTTGACCGACGGTAAAAAATAGAAAATTATAATATAAACATCAAAAGACACGAGTCCGATGTGATTAGTTCACCATCCAATGTACACACCGCACTATGGTTAAGTCCGTACACCGTTGTGGCTCAATAAAACGGAGAGGGAAGGAGGAGTAAAGTTCTACATTATTAAATATCGTGTTACACAGGTGTTGGCTGGACCGAGCCCGCGGCAACAACCCGACGGTGTGTGTCATCCTCTCGCGGCGGCGCGCACTCACTAATAAGAAGACGCGCGCGAGTGCAAGTAGTAGTAGTTCAGTACCAACTGCGTGTGCAACACACGCGAGTGTTTATCGCCGCCGCCGCAGATGGTAGTTCAACACATGCCACGTTCACGCACCGCTACTGCCCGGAGGTGGTCTCCGTTTCACATAACGCGGACTCCGGCGGCGCGCGTAACGCGTTACTCATGCGAGCAATAAACGCGACGATGCTGTGTGTATTGAACTTTGCCAATCATCCGAAGAATCTTGTTCCGAACGGTAAAAACCGCTCCTATCGTCGTCGTCAATAAACAGGTCCCGTAGTGCGCGCACATACGTACTACCGGCTGGTGCACGCACGCTTTCCCATGTCCGTCCGTCGGTTTATTTATTATTAATTTTTTATTTATTTTCCTTATTTTACCTACTTCTCCGCCGTGTCTAATTGACGGCTATAAGTCGAGTTTTCCCCTCGCCCGCGCTCGTTTTCACCGACGACGACACCACGTTCCGGGCACGAATAGGATTTATTCATCCGCTACTCTGTCCGTCCGCAACGCGCGTACAATAATCGTCGTCATAACAACGCGTGCGCGTTGTGATCGGCGGCAGCGGATCTGTGTATACAACAGTTCCGCAAAATGTATAGAATATAATAACAGCAGTGAGCACCGTCAACGGAACTTTCGTACCCAACAATACGGTACACGAAACAATGGCATCAGTGAAAATGTTTTTTCCGTTAATAATAAAAATTAAAGATGGTTTTCGGGTGTCCCACAGCAGACGTACAATGTGCAACAGCCGTATAAATACGCGCGAGCACATAATATGTATACATCGTTTACAATGAAAACACACGCGCGGAAAGCATTGAAATGTATTATTGTGTTCGTACGCGCGCGCGCGGACAATTCTAAGCGGACGGCGGAAACGTGCGCGCGTGTTGGCCAGGTGAAAAATAACATCTGATCGCCGAGGAGACTCGTGTCCTGGTCGCGCGCGCGCCCGCTATCCAACACATCTGCCGACCGTCGGTTTTTGGTCATTATCCGTGTGGGCGAGTGCAGGGTGTACGGGGTATTCGTTTAACGCGATCTAAAAATACACACCACATCCGATTAATATGGATACGATGATTTAGACGTAGACACGTACATAGATCAGTTAATAAATAATAATCGTCGTGTTTTTCACGAAATCCGAATGCGACGCAATGAAAAAATAATTAATGTTACCGTGTA